AAATGGTGAAGCAGGGATGAGGACACTGTGTTCTCGAGACTACTTCCTGCTGACGTGTGTGTGTGTGTGTGTGTGTGTGTGTGTGTGTGTGTGTGTGTGTGTGTGTGTGGTGTCGATCACCTTTGGGGGACCTGAGAAAGCTGGGGTGCTGGCCATGTCCTGGGGTAGCTGGCTGTTTCACTTCACTGTCCAGGCTCTGTGGAGTTGTTAGGCGCTGCTTGGATCTAGCAAAATGCTGTTCGAGGTGGATCCAGGTCGACTGCCTGGAGCTCACAAGAACTTAAAGCACCCGCTCCATTCCCATCACCGCAGCAGCGCCATGACACCCTCTTTCTAGCCGAGTTACCAGAAGGTGGTTGACTACTGAGGGCAGGCAATAGTAAAAGGTGAAACAGAATGAATTTGTACCAAACTGGCAAGGCTGTCTCCTGAGAAGACAAGGAAAAGTGACAGGGGAAGGATCACCAGGGTCACATGGGAACAGGAACTGAGTAAATAAAAAGAAACTGGTGTGTGCCGGGCAAGAAGAAGCTGACTTCTCCATCTGACCTGCATGTTGCGGCAAACAAACAGGATATTTAGAGAGGGAAAGCAGACATACACAAGCACATTTTAAAATGTGCTCATTTTAAAAGGCGGGCCTTGCCCACCTCCCATCTTTCTTCCCCCGCATCCCCCCTCATGCCGTCTCTCTTTCTCTACTTCCACACAGTCCCCAGGGACTGGTCTCTGTTCCCCATCTTCCCCCATCTGTTCCCCTTTCCACTCCTCCCTTTCTCTCCTAATAAACTCTCCACATGAGAATTCTGTTGTATGACGTTCCTCCTTCACGCGGATTTTTCAATTATACCACCTTGGATTGGGTTGTAGAAAAGAAGAAACACCTGGTGGCGGGAAATGGCCCCAGGAGCCTTCACAAGAAGACTGAATTTAAGAGTTCTGTTTCGCCGGGCGGTGGTGGCACACGCCATTAATCCCAGCACTCGGGAGGCAGAGGCAGGCGGATCTCTGGGAGTTCGAGGCCAGCCTGGTCTACAAGAGATAGTTCCAGGATCGGCACCAAAGCTACAGAGAAACCCTGTCTCGAAAAAACAAAAAAGAAAAAAGAAAAAGCTCTGTTTCAGAGCTGTTTCTGTGGACTAGGATGATGGCTGACATATCTCACATCTCCCTCACAGTTTGCTATTACTCTGATCACAAGCTCTTTGGTAGAAGAGGGTTTTTTGTTTTTTTTTTTTTACAGGGTTTATCTGTGGAGCCCTGGCTGTCCTGGAACTCACTCTATAGACCCGGCTGGCTTCAAACTCAGTGATCACCTCACTCTGCCTTTCAAGTGCTGGAACTAGAGGTATGCATTGCCACTACTCCCCAGAAGGGTATCTCTAGGCTTAACTGCTGGCAGGTTCTTTTCTCTCTGCCAAGTCCCACCAGGTTCAGGTATTTAGATTTTTGTTAGCTGAGACTTTCAGAATAGCTGCAGTGTGGTTTTTAAGAATGTATTCCTTGACACCTTCGAGTTGACCCTGTCTGTTGTCTTCAGGCATATTAACTTCTCAACGTTTAGCAGTACATCGTTAGCAGAATCAATCTTCAAATGCAGGAGATGTCCACTACACTCTTATTGTCACAATGCTCACACTGAGAAAGAAAAGACAACTGTTGGGAACCATGTAGCCTAGTCTCAGCTCAGCAATGGCTTTCCACGGAGCAAGACTCTCATTGGCAAGGACCAGTAGTCCACAGGGCAGCATAGGAGTTTGCAAAATTCATGCAGCTTGTAGGCTCTTTTCTTTCTCATTATATTGGTGATTCTTTGGATTCTTTGGGTGGTTTTTAGTTTTGTCAGTCACACATGCAACAGCAGTAATTTTCCCTGGAAATTCTTTCCTTTTCAACCGGGGTCCCGGGGGGGTTCAGCAGAGGACTGACAGGTGGATCTCTGTGAATCTAAGGCCAACCTGGTCTACAAGAACTAGTTCCAGGACAGGCTTCAAAGCTGCACAGAGAAATCCTGTCTTCTAATGTTTCTCAAATCTCTTATCTTGAACTACTAACTACAACTCCTACTCCTGGGAGCTTATCTGACTCAATAGAGATAGTTAGGTACATATGAGAAAACAACACTTGGAACATTGACCGTATCTCACAGTTTGGGAAAGGAGAGTGGGGCATGCAGACATGGAACAGGGCCTCAGGAGTACGCATAGGGCCAGCTGTTGAGAGTAAGTTCCCTAGACACCAAGCATACAGAATCAATGATAAGATCTAGTATATTCTGCTGGGAATAATGTAATGTAAAATACGGGTTGGAGAGAGAGATCCGTCTTTACCACACACAGGAGCTTATATTGGTGGGAGGAGTGTGGTATGGTGGGATGGGAAAAGAGTGCTTGTCAAATCTGCCTCTTGCAGAGAGATTGAAACACGGGACCCTCTTCTAGAAAAGGGAACTGTATAAAAATATATCTTGCAGACATGAAATAATTGTCTGGACTTGAATATTGCTGTCCTTAAAGCATTGGGACCAGGTCTATTACTTTATATCTGCAAGTGGCTACGAGTTGACCTAAGTACTGCGAGGGCAGAATATGTCTGGCTCAATATTTAGTTAAGCCTGCAAAATGCTTGAACTCTGTGTCTAGAATAAGGTTATGCAGTAGGTGGGAAGGTGTATCGGGGAAGCATAAGAGGGAACAATGGGGGCTTTCATAATGATCACGGTGTATTCCTTAAATTGTGATGTATTTCTTAAAGACAAAAACAGAAGCCAATAATAAAGCTGTGCATGTAACCCTGGCAAGAAAAACTCTGTTTACCTATAAATAAAGACAGTCTGAGCTATTTGGGGCCACTTGAGTGCAATCCACTTGGTGGTCAGAAGTTTCCCTTGCGTCGACATCCCTTCCCCATCTCAGGACCTGAACCCGAGCCAAAGCTGGACCCTGGCAGATTGCCCAAGAGTTAGAGGTACCAACTGCTTTTTAAAAGGAGGTGTGGGGTGCCTTCTGACGTTTGGTTGAGACTTTTGGTTGTGATGGCCTTATAGAACCCACTGGACAGTTTACAGAGCTGAGTATTCAAAGATCAGACAGCAAAGGCATTTCTTCCATTCTTTGACTTGAATAGCAAGGCAACCTTGGCCGTGACGTGGTTGAAAGACAATATGTTTTAAAGATCTCAATAAAGCATCTGCAAGTAGAAGCACCCACTACATTTTGTACAGTTGAGAGAATCACAGAGGCGCAGCAGCAGCAGCCCAAGGGTTCTGGGCTTAATCATTTCAGTAACGTATTAAAAACGATTCCTAGTTGTTGTTTGGGATGCTCCGGGGAATAAAACAGGCTGACAATTCTTTCCCAGCGCTAACGCATCTGCATCAGGACACTTGGGGAGACTAGAACCCTATGAGGTACTGAGGAAAGCATCCAGCTCTCTCACACTTGAGGTCACAAAGTTTTGCAAGTCAAAAATGTTGGGCATGCCAAAAACATCACGCTGCACACTACCAAATAAAAGAACACTTGTTATTCTTACAAGGGAATGCTTGATGGGACGGGAAATAGGCAGGTCGGGGAAGTTTATTTAATACCGAGACTCATTTAACCATCCTGAAGCCAAAATACAATGACAGCTTAAAAAAATAAACAAACAGCTGTTACACGAAACAAAACCACTGGGTACATGGCCTTCACTGAATTGGTTGTTAGATTTTTTTTTTTTTTTTTTTTTTTTTGGCAAGTACAGGAAGTGGATAGCCCCAGAAAACCCCCGGGAAACTTCTTAAAGTCTTCTCAGTCTTCTCTTACATGTCCCGCATGCTTTTCGCAGAGATAATCACGATTAAAGTGGTTTTAATTTGTGGGTAGAAAATTCAAACAAGGAAGACTCGATCTTAAAGTATTTCAAGCGATTTCATTAAAGGGTAATCCTTTAAAAATCACATTCTCCTTAAAATGGGCGGGGGTGGGGGAAGAAAAGAGAAAATGGAAGATTGGGTGTGGGGGGGGGGAATCCAGTCCTTTGGTGCGGTTTTCATTTTGTTTCAACACAGCAGGAGGGCTGGGCTGCTGGCTTCCCTCATCCTTTTGAAAGCCAGGAGTGATTATGCAAAGCCCACAACCACCCAAATCTTTAAGGCCAAATCTCACTCTTCTGAGGTCTCCCGCCTGCTCGCTCTCAAATGTTGCTACATCTCATTCTCTGCCAGGTTTTGGTTCCACTGGGAGTCTTCAATTCAGAATTGCAAATACCCCCCCCCCCCCCCCCCCCCCCCCCGGTCATTTTGTCATTTTAAAAGTGAAAACGCAAGCAACAAGTGACATCTAGTGGACATCTAGGTTAGTAAGAAAAAAATCTCTGGGTGACAATAATTTCAAGAATAACTTATTTTATAATTATTTAAAAATTTTCTTTCTCAAATAGCCTTTTCTCTTCCTAAGATAAAAGACTTCCTATCAGATAAAAGACTAGCTAATAAATGTGGCAAATTGTTATTTTCTGTCTCTACAGAAAAACATTCTTTTTGCTGTAGAATATGAACAAGAACTTTCAGGATAAAGCCCTAGAAATAGCTGAGGATTCTGTTATTGGACGTGGGCGTTAGTGAGGGCAAGCACCAACCGTGTGGGTGAGTTTGAAGACAAGGTGGCATGCCAGCCACAGGCTCCAGTTCCTATGCCTTAAGAGTATTACTTTGACAAATCTAAATCTACTTCAACGACTGCCCGTCCTCAAATGCCTTGGGAGTTAGCTGGTTCACTTTCTGTACTGGTGGAAACCGTTGCCAGTTTCACAGGTGACAGATTAATGGAAGTCAGTGGAGATTGTAATATTGAGCTGGAAGTGTCACTCCAGCCCCTGGCCTGGGAATTGCCCTGGTCTGGGCCCCAATCCCCAGCCTGCCAAGCACTAACCCCTCCCCGGGGAGGGCCAGGACCACTCCCACAGGATATTTAGGCTGGAAAAACCGTAGGGGTTTGCGTGGGCTCCTCTCCCCGCCA